TTTGTTGTTTAAAAAAAAAGAGGTCAGTTAACAATAACTATATCACAGAGTTATTAGAAGGATTAAATGAATGTAAATATATGTAAAGTACCTTTAAATGCTTGGTATATCATATATATATATATATATATATATAACTGTAAGATCTTAATGTAATTTCCACTATTTTGCTATGGACAGTAGGGGAAATTCATACATGGTGTTTGGAAGGGCAATGACACTGTTTGATTCTCCCTCCCCAGTTGCCCTAAAAATTTATGTGTCATCAGCAGCAACAACAGTGGCAAACTCTGTCCCATGGCAATATTAAAAACTTCTGACCACCTTCCAAACCTCTGGAGTTTAGCCAGATTATGTGGGTCTCCTTGCCCTGCTTCCAGCCTGGCCTGACCCTGCTCTACCACCCACCTTCAGATCTGACACAACAGCCCTGCATGTGACTTTCCTGTGACCTGCCACAGCCTTGGACTTTAGTGAGTTTCCCAGAAGTTTGTCACATTTCTGGTCTCCTCTTTGCTTTGTGAAACCCTGACCTTTTCTTTCATCTGTGTGGTGACAAACCGTATCTCCCACTTCAGAGTGCTCGTAGAAGCCTCAGTCTTAATATAGTATTTTCACTTCAGCATGCTCAAATTTAGCATGAAGAATAGAATTGGTTTCATGTTAATGGAAGACTGCACCTTGGAGAGTGAGAGAGAAGTGCAAGAGTGGTGGCAAACTTTGTGTGTTCCACCAGGAGTAGGTCAATTCATTAGAGAAGAAGAAAGAAGTATATAGTATATGCTATTATGGCATAAATATATGACTTGTCACAAGTATTCCTGTGTGAGGAATTAGAGGGCTAGCTATATACCTATCCTTTAAAGATCAGTCTGGGCTGCAAGGGGTGATATTAGGCTTACAGTAGAGTCAAAGTTTCACACCTGCTGATCACCATGTAGACAGCATATTTCACTGGGAGCTCCAGATGAAAGGTGGTCTTGCTGGTCATAGGTTTATTATTCTCACTGGAGAGAGAGTGTGGGGAGGGGAAACACATTGAAACAGAATCCAGGAGTGAAATTTCTGGCAAGAGCATGTGATGAAACATTGAGGGATACACCTGGCCTCACCTGCTTGCATTGGCCTTCAGAAGCAACTTGTTGCCCAAGGTGGCCTTGTATGAGACATCAAATGTGACTACAAAGGTGCCCTGATAGAAGAAGAAAGATGAAATGGAGATAAAGAAGGTCATGAAGGAGTAAGGGAAAGAAATAGGTCAGGACAAGGGAGGAGAGTGATGAGGATCTGTGGGGAGGCACTCACCTTAGTACCCTCTTGGAAGATGGGATGATTGATGCTACAGCTGCTGCTTTTCAGGCCCTCATTCCCAGTGGGCACTCCCTCACATGCCAGGTGCAGTGGGCGCTGATGGGGTTGCTTCCAGGGAAGGAAATCAAATTCAAAAAATGTTACCCATGTACATATTTGGGCTTGATATGTAACAGTGGTGTGTGTCATTGTGGAGCAGTGTGAGAAGGACAGACTTTACAATAAATAATCCTAGGGAAACTGGCCCATACCAACCCCCCCCAAAAAAATGAAACAACAACAACAAAAACAACAACAAGGGAACAGAAAAAGAAAAACAAACAAACAAAAATGAATCCGCACCTCACTCCATAGATTACAACAAATTCCAACTGGATTAGAGATTTCATGTGAAAAAGGCAAAATTAGGGGAGGAGGAGAAATATGGCAGAGGAGTAAGAAACATAAATTTCATCTGGTCCCAGGAATTCAGATAGATAGTTACCAATCCATTCTGAACACCTCCAAACTCAACAGGAGATCGAAAAAAAGAATAGTAGTAATTCTATGAATAGAAAAGAGACCAATTTCTGGGAGGTAGTACATGTGGAGAAGTGAATCTGAGGTGATAGTTGGGAACATAAACTGCAGGGGAAGAGAGCCTCCTTCAGCCAGCTACCAGTAAGTGATAGAGCAGCAGGGCACAAAAATCAGAACTTCTAGAAGTCTGCTCCACAGAAGGTTATTTCTCCAGTGACTAAGCAGGGGATGGAATCCTCACTGGGACAGTGTAGTCTCAGGACCCTTGGGGTCACAGAAAGATCAAGGGTGCCTGAGTGTGGTAGAGCTCCCAGATATCAGAGCAGGGAGCTGCTGAAAAGACGGAGCTGAAGAGTGAGCTCTCAGCTTGGGGTTGCCATAAATCATGATCCACAGCACATGATCCACTACTCTTTGAGCAGGGACCCCACAAATGGCAGATCCAGGGAGATCCCCCTCTTCCTCCACCAGGAGGAAGGTGGCACAGGAGCATGCTGCCAAAATCAGCTAGGTTTGGAAACTCCAAACAGGGTCATGTGCCAAAGATAGAAATGCTTAGTCATAGGCCAGGTGAGCATGGAGTTTGGCTGGAGATCAGAGAGACAGAAGACAGGAGTGACTGACTGCTTTTCTCTGAGGGTGCACTGAGGAGGGGGGCCCCAAGCTCTCAGCTCCTCCAGGGCGAGAAATTTGGAGGCCACCAATTTCATTCTCATCCTCCAAAGGTGTGAGGAAATTGTTCAGGAAACAAAAGCTACCAAGATCAAACCTGAGCAGATTACTTAACCTTGACCCTGGCAAGAGCAGTGCAATTCTGCCTTGGGCAAAGACATTTGAGAATCACTGCAACAGGTCCCTCCCCCAGAAGATCAGCAAGAACATCCAGCCAAGACCAAGTTTACATATCAATGAGAACTGCAAAACTCCAGTGCTAGGGGAATACAACTCATAGAATTCATGGCTTTTCCCCATGATTCTTTAGTCTTTCAAAGTTAATTATTTAAATTTTCTTTTATTTTTTCTATTGTTTTAAATTTTTCTTCTTTCCTATATTAACCAACATCTCAACAATTCCTTTTTTAAAACCTTTTTTTAATTTTCATTTTTACAGTCCTACTCTATCCCTTCACTGTATGTAACTTTATTTTTGTATATATATAAGTTTTCCTTTAACATTTTAGGATACAGTTTCTTTTAACAGTCCAAAATATACCCTAAATCTAGTGTATGGCTTTGTTCTAGTCTCCCACCTAATCACATTCTCCCCTTTTTAAAAAATCTTCTTTCTTTTCCCAACCAAGTTTTTATCTTATCAATTCTTATTTTTAAATCTTTTTTAAATTTTAATCTCTACATTCATATTCCATCTCTTCATCATATTTACCCTTATTTTTGTGTATACATATATTTTAAATCATTATTTTATATTATACATTAAATCTTCCCTTATTTTAGAGAAATTTTCATCGGTTTTGTGCTATTATTTATAATTATTAACATAACTCAATGCATAGTTTAATGGTTTAATAAAGTCAGGCCTGGCTGCTTACTGTTAGCACATCCCCTCCCCCAAAAAAGTTTTTCTTTGCTTAAAATTTTGGGACACAATTTCTTCTAACAGACCAAAATATACCCAAAATCTAGTGTGTAGCTCTGTTCTATTCACCAGCCTGATCATATTTCTTTTTTTCCCCCTTTCCTTTCCCCCCAGTTTTGGGTATCTTCTGATTTGTTTGGTATATTTTTCTGGGGTTGTTGTTACCCTTTTAACATTTTGTTCTCTCATTCATCTATTCTTCTCTGGACAAAATGACAGAAACGGAAAAACTCACTTCCAAAAAAAAAAAAAAAGGAACAAGATGCAGTACAAATTGCCAGGGACCTAATCAATACAGACATTAGTAAGAGTTCAGAATGAAACTAGAGTTCAGAATGATGATTATAAGGATACTAGCTGGGCTTGAAAAGAGCATAGAAGATACTACAGAATCCCTTTATGGAGAAATAAAAGCACTAAAATCTAACCAAGTTGAAAATTAAAAGGCTATTCATGAGGTGCAATAAAAAATGAATAAATGAGGCAGAAGAGAGAATTAGTGATATAGAAGACCAGATGATGGATAATAAAGAAACTGAGAAAAAGAGATATAAATAACTACTGGATCATGAAGGGAGAATTTGAGAGATAAGTGGTACCATAAAACGAAACCATATTCGAATTATTAGGATCCCAGAAGAAGAAAGACAGAATAGGGCAGAAGGCATATTGGAGCAAATTATAGCAGGGAACTTCCCTAATTTGGGGGAGGAAAAAGGCATCAAAATCCAGGAGGCACAGAGAATCCCCCTCAAAATCAATAAAAATAGGTTCATACCCCATCATCTAATAGTAAAACTTACAGAGACAAAGAGAAAACCTGAAAGCAGCTCAGGACAAGAGGTCTGTAACATACAATGGTAGAAATATTAGATTGGCAACAAACCTGTCCACAGATGCCTGGCAGCTCAGAAAGGACTGGCATGATATATTCGGAGTACTAAATGAGAAAAATATTCAGCCAAGAATACTATACCCAGCTAGGCTGTCATTGAAAATGGAGAGATATAAGGTTTCCAGGACAAACAAAAATTAAAAGAATTTGAAAACATGAAACCAGCCCTACAGGAAATATTGAAAGGGGTCCTCTAAGCAAAGAGAGAGCCTAAAAGTAACAGACCAGATCAAGGAAGAAACAGAGAAAATATACAGTAACAGTCAACTTACAGGCAATACAATGGCACTAAATTCATATCTTTCAATAGTTACCCTGAACGTAAATGGGCTAAATGCCCCAATAGAAAGACAAAGGGTATCAGAATGGGAAAAAACAAACAAACAAACAAACAACAACAACAAAAACAAGACTCTGGGTACCTGGTGGTTCAGTTCTTAAGTGTCTTACTTCTGCTCAGGTCATGATCCCAGGATCCTGGGATCAAGCCTGGTGTTGGGCTCCCTGCTCACTGGGAAGGTTGCTTCATCCTCTCCCACTCCCTTTGCCTATATTCCCTCTCTCACTGTCTCTCTCTGTCAAGTAAATAAATTCTTAAAAAAAAAAAAAACCAAGACCCATAGATATCCACAAGCTGTCCACAAGAGACTCATTTTAGACCAAAACACACCTCCAGTTGAAAGCGAGGGGGTGGAAAACCATTTACCAAGCTAATGGACATCAAAAGAAAGCTAGGGTGGCAATCCTTGTATCATATAAATTA